TAAAAGTCCACAAAAAACGTGTCAATATTCCTCCATACTGCTCGTCCAATGTATTCCAAGTGTCCTGAGTGGGTAGCATCCAGAATTTACTCGAAACGAAGTCATTTAGAATGTTTTTAGAGCATAAACAGTAGTGTATAGGACTTCCTAAAAGCGCGTTCACGAGTCTACGGAAACTGCGGCAGACCAAACCAGATGAAAGTGCGCATTCAGCTCGGCAAAGAACTCATGCTCTTCCTCAACACTGAAGTCCTCAGACATTTTTCTTTCGTTGTTTCTTTCTTTGCACAGGTAAACAGCACATTTCTTCTGCTACGCTTGCATTATCGGCATAGCAGACGCTGAATGCGCACTTTCATCTGGTTTGGTCTGCCAGCTTCCGTAGCGTCGTGATCGCGCAGGCGCGCGCTTTCAGGAAATCCTATACACTACTGTTTATGCTCTAAAAACATTCTAAATGACTTCGTTTCGAGTAAATTCTGGATGCTACCCACTCAGGACACTTGGAATACATTGGACGAGCAGTATGGAGGAATATTGACGCGTTTTTTGTGGACTTTTATGGACCTTTCTGCCTCGGGCGCCATAGACCTCCATTATTTGAATGTCAGCAGACAGCAAGAAGCCTCCCAGATCTCCAGATGCATTTGAGATATCAAAAAAGTACTCCAGAGTGTTGTTCAGCATGGGGGTGAGTAGAAAATGAAGGCTAATCATGTTTTGGGTGTATTATTCCTTTAACATACAGTATGTCAAAACTTTCAGTGCAATATGATATTTTGAACCTTGGCAGCTTGTAATATTACAAAAAAAAAAATAAGTTGCATTCTTTATATGTGATTTAATTATATCTACCGGTACACCCTGATATTTATTGCATGGATAGAGGAGCTCTGTGTAAGCAAATAATATTAAAAAAAAGTATTTTCTGGATGTTAACCTTGGATTGAAGGTTTACTGCAGTTTTTTCCCATATGACCTGAATGCAGCATTCGCGGGCAGTGATTGCACACACACATCCACATACACACACACTATAACAAGCCTGCGGTTCACTGCAACATGGTGATTGGGCAAAATCAAGGGTGTGTGGAGAGCGTGGGCAGTGCCTAACAGACGTCAATTCAACAGGAGACTCCAGCTTGTGGTTGAGGCTCAACTAAATACTAAGCTCATCTCCAGACGTGTGTCATGGTGCCCTTCACCCCCCGTGTGAGTCTGATGGAAATATAAAGGGCTAAATACCCAGGTAAAGATAATGCCAACTTTTCAACCAAAGATTTGAAAAGCCATTTTAAACATAATCTAATATTTAAAAAAAACTTAAAACCAAAGATTGACATGATAAGCAAGAGGGAAGGAAGTCTAGCATTTTTATAATAAGACAATAATAAGAATATTGAAATATTGAGGGCTTATTTTTCTATCCTCACCAAAATTCTTTGCATTTCTCAGCTGTGGCTCATTTTTTCTGACAACCACGCTCAATTAAAACAATTGATACTACAGCCTGGAGATAATAATTATCTATATTTAGAACTTGGAGAGATTACCATTTTGGTTAGGTTAGAAATTGAGTCCAGCTACCGCCGTAGGCTAATTTCAATGGCACTCTAAATATAGCTTTGGTTTTAAAGACTTTTTCCAACAAACAATGCCAGAGTTTCCCAGGAAAATGATTTTATGAAAGTAAATGAAATGTTATGACAAACAGATTTCAAAGTCACAGATCTATGAAATTCAAAGGCAACAGTCAGTCGGAGGCCTTTTTGTTTGTCACACACTAAACCACCAATCGTTTCCCCATGTTGGTTTATGGGGCGCCTGAGCAGTGGCGTGATGCATTTATCTTGGGGTCTGGGTCTCACACAGACTCCAAACCACCTTCCTGCTACTCGTTACGTTGCTGCTGAGTGATGGAGGTTAAAGTGTGGTTCACACCTGAGAGTTTTAACAGTAAACCACCAGCTGGGGTTTTGAGAGTTTGCATGTCATGTCAATGTTGCTTTCCTTGAGGTGTGTCCACAGTCCAAAGACATTTAGAGCTGGATTAAGGAAAGAATTTGGTTTGTTCAAACTACTACGTCGCTTTGCGAAAGTTTTCACACCCTTTTAAAAAATTTTCCTACCTAAATATGCCAATTTTTCTGTATTAGTTTACGTAGATGGACAAAAATGGATGTTTTATGGTTTGTAGTTATATGTATCTTTTCACAATTAGGAAACTGAATCTGATGTGCTTTTTCAGGCCTTCTGAGACAGAACCTTGCAGAAACAGCATCTAACTAAGGATGCTTAGAGAGAACCAACAATTTCCGAAATGTTTTCTTTTTTTTTTTGAGCATCCTTTTCAGTTTATCGATTTGCAAAATGATTTTTGATCAGCCAAATTAACTGAAGCTGTACATTTTTAATATTGCCACAGAATATCTGTGGCTTTTTATTCAAATCTGGACTTTAATGGTCTTGGCGCTGAAGGTTGGCTTTTTCATTTGCTCCTGCTCACCTGTCTATTTGGCCTAGCGGCTAATTAACGGCGATTGTTTTCACCTGTTCCCTCAGCTATTTATGTTGTTTGCCTGCCTACCATCAGCGCCAGATTGTTCGCACTGTTCGTGAGAGTAACTCTAGCGTTCAAGTGAGTTTTTCTCTGATTCCGATTCTGACCTGTTTTCTATTTCTGGATATTTGAGTTTTTGCCTTGCCCTGTCTGCTCTGTCAAGTGTTTGTTTTTGAACTGTTTTCCTGGATCCTGCTGGTTACCGAACTTGGACTGTGTTACTGACCTCGGCTCGGATTCGCCTTTGGTACCTCTTCAGCTCTCTGATCTTCTGGTCTGTCAACCTGGTTTGGATTTTACCTATTCCTATTCCCACGGACACTGATGGCTCCTAAGAGTTTGGCTGGTGTCAGCTCATCATCACCCGAAGTCCAGGAAGCGGCTACGGCTGCTAGCGGTGGACAATCCCCTTCCCAGATTTTTCCTTTCCTTTGGGATCGGACTGGACTTTGAACCAGGTTAGTGACTTTTTGCTCCTCGTCGTGATCGGCCTCGACAATCCAGTTACTGACCTGTGTTTCCTATCTCTGCAGAGAATCCGGTTATCCGTTCCACTGACAACCAGCCGGTCGCCATTTTTGTTTGTTTAAATAAAATTGTCCTGATCTGTCTGTCTGAATATTGGGTCCATGTTTCCGAGGTCATTACATTAACTAGGCCATTGACCATCCCGCTGTAGGTCTGGCTGTGTGTTTTGTTCAGTTATTTGTCTTAGAGGTGATATACTTCGCCTCAGAGTCTTTTTTTTCAGTCTATGTCCTTCTCTTTCCCTGCACTTTGTCATCATCATCGAATACTGCAACCCTCTTCTTTTTGGTCTGCAGCTTCAGTTGGTGGCCCATTTAATTGCAAAAACCATCTTCGAGGTCAAGGTATCCCCCCCAAATATCCTTAGACCTTCCTGTTCAACCCGTAACTTCCATCTCTTTAAGACTCCATAACCCCCCCTGATTCTCCACTGCTTTTAATATTGTGTATTGTTGTTAAGTTGTTAAGGTTCCCTGAAAGGCACTTTAAATAAAATGTATTATTGTTGTTATGATTATTTTTTTACTGCATCAGATAGTTTTGCTTCCAACAATGCCTTGGATTTAGCTCCAAACATTTTGTCATCAACTCTGACCTGCTTTGATGTCCAGGCTGAAGAAAAGCATCGCCGTAGCAAGAAGCCTTCACTGCATTTCACTGTTTCAGTGAAATACAGTAAATTTCACTGGACTCCTTACAAATTTCTGACCATAGAAGGTTTATAAAAAGATAGATAGATAGATAGATAGATAGATAGATAGATAGATAGATAGATAGATAGATAGATAGATAGATAGATAGATAGATAGATACTTTATTAGTACTTTTAATAAAATACTTTTGCAAGGCAATGTGATTCAGATTTACAGATCATTGCTGTATTTCTGGATTCTTTGGACATTAGTATGATACATATCCACTGTGTGATTGCATTTGTGGTGTGATGTTATTTAAGATAATAAACAAACAAAAAGGTTGTATACACTTAGTATCGGTGGGCCCCCTTGAGGCTGTGGATCTAAGTGCAGTCTTCCATCTTGCACTCGTATGGTAGTCAGAACCTTGGCATGATGAATGGTGCAACAACACCACACAGCATTCCAGGGGAGCTGGCATTAAACCACTGGCTCTTATAGACTTAAAGAGGCTTTCACCCAAAAAGTATCTTAGTACCTTGAAGTCACTGGAAACATTAGGAAGCCTAAAACCCTAATGTTCCTCCTGCAGTCATTAAATTCAACATTTTTGCCCATGACACATTTAAGACTTGTGCATAAAAAAGAAAACCAAAATGTTTGAGTTTTCCAAAGGAACGATGTTTGCCATCTGTTCCTGTGAAATCCAAGTGCAGACCTCTTTGTCACAGAATAAACTGGGCATGGCATAACAGAAATCTTCCAATTCCTCATGAAATGTAAGGGGGGGAAGCTTTTTCTAATTATAAGCTTTCTGGTTTCAGTTAGCTCTTAAAAAGTCCTAAAATAAAACTATTATCTACCAGATTGCATATTTAGAGCTTTGTTGAGCTTCTATCAATTCTTTACAGTGATTATTAACTCTTGAGGTTGTTCCAGTCATTATTCTTTGAGTTAATTAATAGTCTGATGACTGTTTGGTTCCTTTAATTCCAAGCACATTTATGTCACTGCAAACTCGCATAATTTCTCTATAAGATCTAAAATTATACAAGATCAGAAATTGAGTTTTTGAATCTCTGCAGACCATGAACGTTTCGTCCTACGTCGCGGGTTTCATTGCAAAAGGGAGACTTTTAAAGTGGACACGCCCCTAAAACCTTGGACGCGGATTTCCTCGAATCCGATTGGCTGCGAAGCGGCGACCGACAACACCTGCTTAACTCCTTCATCCAAATTGACACCCGGCTGCTGTAGAGAAATATAGGCAGCATCCCTTCCAGCTCATGCATTCAGTCCCACACAGCTGCTCCATGACACACCGAGCCGCAGCTGCGCCGATCGCCGATCCAAGGTGAACCATCACACTCAGATTGAAAGGCACACACGCACACAGCCACGCACTCTCTCCCTCTCTCCCCCCCTCTCTCTGTCGGATCTTCGCCGGGGAACAGAAGACGCAATGCTGGTCAAGCTGGCTGTGGCGCTGCTGGTTTTGTCAGTGCTGGAGCAAGCGGTGGGATCGGATAATATTGATTTTCACGATCTGCCCCCGGAGAAGCCCGCCAGCCAGAAAGGACGCCTCTCCCTGCAGAACACAGGTAAGACTGGGAGCCCGCAGAGGAGACGGGGAAGTGGCATTTTGGGGAGAGAGGGGGGCTGGGTGGGTTTGCCCGGGACACGTGTTTCTGTAGCTGCAAATTAAAGCGTGCAGGGAGGCACGTTTGGGCAAACTCCGCAGATTCGGGCTTCCATTCCCTTCTCTGACGTTTGAGCGACGCTTCCCGATTCTCATGAAAGGTGATATATTGTATACACTCCCAGACGGAAATGCAATACGTTAGTAAACTATTAATAGAACGGCACAAGGTGATAGGTAATCCATACGGCCGCGCATCTAGGTGAGGGCGCGCTCCGGTGAACGCGCGCGCGCTTGTATAGCCTAGGTGTCCTAACAGTTTGGTTAACCTTTAATTCTGTTGCATGCCATTAAAAACTAACTGTAGGGTGATGTGATCCATTTCATTCCAGGACCAAACGGGCTGATACACTAGAAGAAATTGGCTTTAAACCATTGCAGGATATATTTAAAGAAAAAACGCTTTAAACGCAAATAAATGCAGGTACAAGCTGCTTTAATTCTCGCATAAAACTGAACTTTGCAGCCTCTGCTGGGTTTGACATGCAGGCGATCGCGTAAAGCATCAATGTTATCTCCCCTCCTCCTCCTCCTCCTCCTCGGTTGGGAAATGTGGAGAAACTCTGAGCGCAGCGCAGGTTTTTGCAGCAGCAGAGACCCCCGGTAACGCCGCTGTGTAATCCAATGCATGTTTGCGGCCGAGCTCGTACAATCCGAGCGCATTCCAGCAATGCCAAAACAAGCACTGCTGACAGCGGCTCACTTTTCCCTCGCACTAAAGTTCAATTCTCTCTTCCCCCCCCCCTTTCCTGACCGCTGGGAACAGATAATCTCCTTTGACCAGCTTGATTTCTAACGAGTCACTTTTAATCCATCGCTCAGGACGCAAACGGCGTGCAGGATCTCCTAAGATGATTATTCATCATCAGAAGCGGTTAAAGTTATTGTAAGAATGCAGCAGTGACATTGATGGATCATCTCCTTTTTAAAAAATGTTTCAAAAATCAATAATCAGTGTGCAAAACTTTAGTGCCAGGTTAAACAATCTCAGTATGGGCTCCCATTTTCCCCCATGTAATCATAAAAATAGGGCCTGTACCTGCAGTCCCTAAGGTGCACACTGATTGCACAAGACTTTATCAATGGATCATTAATGTTCTGAGTGTCTAATAACTTCTGATGTGCTCACTGAAAAAGATAATGCAACTACTTTTGGCATTTACCTAATCCTATTTAGTTACTTTAACACAATTGTTTAAGTTCCTACACCTGCTAACATGAAACAATTGTGTTAAAGTAACTAAATATGATTGAGCCAGACAGCTTTTGTTCCCTATAAGTGTTGCTCCCACTCACTCCATGTCAGAATGGTGCTCTGGGCAATGAGCCATTTTAAAAACTACCACCAAGCCTTACCGTATGTTCCCCTGAACGTGACAGGAGTGCAGCAGTTGTAAAACCAGTTCAATTTGGCAAACTTCAGGATCTTGCCACCAAAATAAAAGTTCCTCCCTTATATGAAGAAGTCTTATTGACCCAACTAATATAGTGCATAAAATGGGGAAACGCCTTCCGCTCAAACTCTGTTGTAAACGAGTTACAGTTCAGATTACTAAAGCATTAGCATCAGCTGTGTTGTTTCTAATTTGTCATTATCACTAATCTTTCTTACCCAGAAAGGCTTTAATAAAGGAAAAGGTTTAAGCCTAATGGACACTTCTTATTACCAAGTGCCTTTCCATTCCCCTATGAAAATAAAACCCTGATCAGTGACCCACATTCCTTTTAAGATCTTGATCAAATGCGCATCTTTTTGCAATTACTTTAAGATATAAAGAATGAATTTATGTGTTAGTAAAAGCATAGAGTTAATGCTTTTTGGGAGGTCATGTCCTCATTGTTGCTGCTGCATTCCCCATTGCAATATTGTAACTTTTTTAAGAGCGAAACTAAAGTACTTGTTGATGTACATCTCTTGAAGCGAAAGGCATAAACTGTAATGCCTGCATTTGTTGTAAAAAGAAATATCTGCAATGCACCAACCCATTTCAATGCCAGACAGTGCAGATGACTGTGGTGCAGAATGACACAGTAAATATATCTCACACCAAGTGTTCCACACCTCCTGATGCCCATCTTCCCTCAGCATCTTTTTTACCCATCATAGGCTCGATATCATGAAGACGCAAATGACCGCCCACGTCCGTGCAAATAGTTATACGCCTCATAAGCTTTGTGAATAAACCTAAAGAGAAGCTGTGCCTTCAAGCTGTCATAGCCGACACTCATCTTAGCATGTCGTCTCTGCTGTAGACACATGATAAGGTCCTTGCCTAACCTGTTCCTCTTTTTTAGCTGAGATCCAGCACTGCCTGGTGAGTGCTGGGGATGTTGGCTGCGGCGTGTTTGAGTGCTTTGAGAATAACTCCTGCGAGATTCGAGGGCTGCAGGAAATCTGCATGACGTTTCTGCACAATGCTGGCAAATTCGACTCTCAGGTACTAAGCTAGTTTGTCTGTTTGCAGACATTTTGACATTGCTGCACAGTTATCCTCTAAAACCACCAAAAATGTTGTGTTTTTTTTTTTTTTTTTATTCTGTAATGCACTTCACAACTAATCTCTTCAGTTTTGATTGGAAGAGAAGTGGCTTCCGGGACCAGGGGGTCATGTGCCAGCTGGCCTGGAGCCCAGTTAGCTTACTTTTCATACATAGCGGAGGTTGAAACCCTGCCAAATCAGGCATGACTGGGGTGTTAATATGCCCATAAGGTCACATCCTAGGAATTTACATCCATGAGTGCCAGTTTTCATCAGTAATATTGGAGTATCTCACCATTCATTCCAAAATTCATACTTCAACACATGCTCTGAATTTGCTTAAACAGGTGCAATCTTTTCTGAAACACTATATTAGAACAAACCATAAGTTGTATAACGAATAAAACCCTTTTAATTAGGTATACTTTAACAAGTATTTCTAAGTGTAAATTATATTAGTTCCACAACTGACTGGAAATGTGTACAAGTTTGACTCCTCCCGGTCAGTAAGGAGCGCTCTTGCCTGCTCTTATTCCAACCTTCAGTTATACCGCTTTCAAGCCGGTTGTAAATTAGTTGGTTAGTTAAAGCTAATATTTGGTTCTGCACCAATCTAGATGTTTTTTTAATTTATTAATTTAGGAAAAAATTTGTTTTGATGGAAAATAAATCATACTTTAATGTATTCCTTCTAACTTCTAATAGGCTTTTTTTTTTTAAATGCACTCATTCAATAACATGGTTTTAACATAAATTTAAATAGGATGATTGATTAAATTAACAAAATTGATTGTTTTTTATATATTCTTTGAAGTGTTTATTAAAGGAATAGTACACCCAAAACATGATTAGCCTTCATTTTCTACTCACCCCCATGCTGAACAACACTCTGGAGTACTTTTTTGAT